TTTCACTTTTAATAGCAAATATGAAGTGACACACGAGCTGGTAACCTCATACAGGAAATGAGAAGACCTCCTAAAATACTGGAAAATTAAATAAGCGTTCAGAATATTTATGCAGATTTTCAGGGCATACAAACATAAAGGATTAAATACAAGGCCAAGTGCAAGGTCCTGCACCTGGGCTGGGGAAATCCCAAGCACAAGCACAGACTGGGCAGAGGCTGGATTGAGAGCAGCTCTGAGGAGCAGGACTTGGGGGGGTTGGTTGCCGAGAAGCTCCACATGAGCCGGCAGTGTGTGCTTGCAGGCTGCAGCCAGCAAGCCAGCCGTGTGCTGGGCTGTATCAAAAGGAGCGTGACCAGCAGGTCGAGGGAGGGGATTCTCCCCCTCTACTCTGCTCTCCTGATACCCCACCTACAGTACTGTGTTCAGCTCTGGGGCCCTCAACCCAAAAGGGATGTGGATCTGCTTGAGCAAGTCTGGAGAGGGGCCATGAATATAATAAGCAGGCTGGAGCACCTCTCCTATGAAGACAGGCTGGAAGAGTTGGGGTTGTTCACCCTTAAGAAGAGAAGGCTCCAGGAAGACCTCAGAGCAGTAAATGGGCTAAAAAGAAATCTGGAGAGGGACTTTTTACAAGGGCACATATTGATAGGACAAGGAGGAATGGCTCTAAGGTGAAAGAGAGTAGATTTAGACTAGATATTAGGAAGACATTCATCACTTATGGGGGTGTTGAGACATAGGAACAGGTTGCCCAGGGAAGTTGTGGGTGCCCCATCCTTGAACGTCTTCCAGGCCAGACTGGACAGGGCTTTGAACAACCTGATCTAGAGGAAGGTGTCTCTGCCCCATGGCAGGGGGTTGGAACTGGATGACCTTTAAGGTCCCTCCCACCCAAACCGTTCTAGAATTCTATGCTTATCAAGAGCTACCACTAGGTTGTATTACTCTACATCACCTTATTTTACTATTTACTCCTCTGCATCTGTTGGCCTGTTGTTTTTCTACAAAGAGCATTTTTTGACCCATGTTATATATCTAGAGACTTCCCCTCAGTGTTATCATTCTATATATATGTTCATGTCATTTAACTACTTTAATTCACCCTTTCATTTATCATATTCATTGATTAAAGCAATAAAGCTTTGAAATCAGCATATGTGACTGTTATAATATTTTATATCCTATGCTTAGGTAATAAATTCAAGGAGAAATGAATAGTGGCATTTCAAGCTGCATGCAGTGTTCTTTAATGCAGCCCACTGAAGTCCTTCATTGCAAAGCTGTTGGTAAAGAATGGACACTTTGGAGTGAAGGAAGCCTTTTGATAGAGCTTTTGAGATAATGGCCAAGATTAGACAGTAGCACCTCTATACTGAGTATGCAAATTTACAGTAATCTTTTTTTTTCCTAGGAGAAAAGTTACACAGTCACTAATTTTCACAGGAGAAGCGTCATACAGTGAATGCTGAAAAGCAGTTTTGCAATATATTTTACTTCAACTCAGACAGAAAAGGGACTCAAATGCAAGCATGGCTTATGTTAGAGTTGCCAAATCTCATTACACCTTTCTGCACCTGTTCCTGCTGATAGCAGATCCAGACCACTGGTGGCCCACCTGGGTGGGTTTCATGAGCTGAGCTCCCTCCTCTGAGGACTGGGGCAGCCAAGTCAGGGTCTCCTCTGCCTCTATCAGTTTGTCTGGGTTCCTCTGATGCTTCCTGGGAACTTGTGTTTTCTTTAATTATCCTTCCCTGAATCACATGACCTCAAAGCTTAAAACCCAAAAAGCATTTGATCCCTTCCCCAAATCCTGAGGCATCACAAAAGCCAACTTGCAAAGCTCAAAGCGGGAGTTGCCCAGATGAATCATTGAACTGGGATGATTTCTGTACACAGATTAATCCATCAAGCAACCTTGAGAGTGAAGGTAATTCAGAGAATCTCAGTGGATGCATCTGGTTGTGCTTGAATATTTTTAAAGCCATTACCAATCAGGTCTTGATTGGCTTAGCTGATTTTAAAGGCCTTAAATATACTTTATTTGAACTATATTAAAGAAGGGTGCAAAATAAACCTACATATTCCATTGATAATGAAGGAAATCACTGTCCCCTCAAACTGCAAACCCTTATCAGGTAGTATAAAAGATAAACACAACAGGAAAATTGGCAGGGGATGTGTGGGGGGCAGGGAGCAGAGGGAGAGAACAACTTGCAATCCATACATCTGAATCATATTTAGGAGTGTTGACTCTAAATCCAAATGCTTTTGTAACTATTCTCCTGACTGTGAGTTCTGACCAGAAAACCCAGAAACACGGACTGGACCTCTTAAAACAGAGTGACTCTAAAGAGAGGAAGCAGCTGAATGCCAGGGCAGCTGGCATTGTAAGACCACATGCCAACTCACTTCCATTTTCTGTTCAGCAAGTAACCCTATTTAATTCTGCTTCCTGGGAGAAAACAGACTTTAACCAAAAACTACTCCAAGCTTCTGGCTAAAGCCCAGTGTGATACATTCCTTTCTAGAAGTGGTAGATTATAGAAAATACAGAAAGGCAACTTCTGATCAGACATTGCATCTGTATTTCTCCTGCCCTTGCCAAATTTACCCTGGCAAAAGTTAACTCAGTGCTTTTTAGAAGATGTGGGGTGAGTGCTGCCTTGGATGGTGCTCCTTATCCCTGTAAGTAATATTCCACAGTCAAACTCCAAGGTTTTTTCACATTTTTTTTCTCTTTTCAATTTTATTTAATAAAAGAACACAGCCAAATTTTCTATCATGAGCCTTATTACCCACTGTATTTCTGCACATGCCTATAACTTTGTCAGACTGTTTGGGTACCTGTTTTTATAGGCAGAATTGTTTGCAAATAAGGCTTTTAAAAGTATTAATAAAGCAACATCATGTATGAGAATGAATATACATCAATACAAAGTCCTTGAAAGAAAGCTTGAAATTCACTCTAAGGACAAAGCTAAGGTTACTGGGGTGCTTGTGAGTGATCATTTTTCTGCTTGCAGCACCTAGGTTTCTAGAAGATAGTGTAACTCCAAGAAATCCAGAAAATATTGTCTCCCATTTTCCTAGCTGCATTTCCTAGTTCTTAATACAGACTGTGTTTGCTTACCAGTCTGTTGAGCAGAAATAATGGGACAGAAAGGATGAGTCTTGATGAAAGCACTTCAGTGTCATTAAGCACTCCAGTGTCTCTAAGCATCTTTGGTCAGAGAAAAACTTGACCACAGAAAAGGCTAAAAGGGATAAATCCTGGAACAGATGTATAACTGAGCAATAGCTGAGCTATATGAAATATAATAAAACACAGACTCACAGGCACTGGAGGTGGAAAGACCTATTAAGTCATCTAGTCCCAGCTTCTGCCAATGCAGAATTGGCCCCTAGAGTAATGTGCTGAACTTTAAGAAAAAATAAGGCTGCCAAAACTTTGTCAAGCTTGTTACACTTGCTCCAGAAGAGAGAAATGAAAAACCCAAACCTAATGAACAGGCTTCAAGTCATGGAGGATTAACAGTGCCAGGAAAACTTGATTGTATCCCCGCCTCCTTACCAAACCTCAGTAAGGAGCAAAGGCATGGCTCCAGAACACTTTAATACTGTATGACCACCTCAGCTGAAACCAAGTTAATCAGAACTGAAAATCATAGAGGCCAGCGTGCTATGGGAATTTGGGTTACTCTGGCAGCTGCGTAGAGAATATTTATTGAGACTCAAGATATTTGGAAGTGCCAAGTGAAGGTGTGTTCTGCCTCCAACCCATGCTAATCTAGCTGCAAAACAGTCTTTATAGTCCCTGTGACTGGGTGTTTGCCTACTGGGTGTTCTAGCCTTTAGCCTCTCCTCACCTGCACAACAATATACCATAATGTGTGTTTTCATTATGGGAATGGAGTCCTAAATGAGACCAGGAATGCCTTTGGCAGTGGAGGCAAATGAATAGCAAAGGAAGTTGAGAAGGATTCAGAGAGGACAGTGTGAGTCAACTGTCTGAGGGTAATAGAGTGAAGCTGATGTCCAGAAGACAAAAGTGACAGCTAAAAAAAAACACTGGGAGCCACTTCTGTAAGTAAAAGGGACTGTTCACACACTGCAGTCTCATTTATCTGCAAGCACGGGCTTCAGGCCCAAGTGGCTGAGATTGCTGGAGAAGTTCCTGAGTATTCCCATCTCCCACAAAGAGCAGCAGCAGCAGATGGGACTTGAAAGTGACACTAAAGGCATGGAAAAGCCTGGACACCAGCAGAGGAACCAGGTCAGCTTGATGGAAAATGAGAAAAGTCATGTGAAAAACAGGAAAGCATTTATTTGTCTGAAGGATACAACTCATAAATGGTGTTCCAAATTCATGGGATCAAGGTCATTTTCATAATCCTAACAAGTCACAACTTGCTGGAAGCTTTTATGTTTTCTAGTCTAACATACTTAGAAAGTGAGGTTTAAAATTTATCCTCATGTGTACAATCAATACCATGTCTTACACACTATTCATCAGCCAGCTACAGGGCTTAACCCTGGCTGGGGCTTAGGTGCTATCTAAACACCAACAGAAAATACTAAATGTTTGACCATTTGTGATGTAACATTAGACATGTGCAGGAGACTACATTCCCTTCACATTTTACAAACCTGGTCTAACATATATATGATGCATTTGTCAAGCTTGCAGGTGAGAGTTTGACATGACATATTTTGTAAACATCTCCTATGATTTTGTATCATGATACTAGGTTTAGATGAGCTGTCAGAGAGGGGAATGCCACTTTCAAAGCAATTCCCATGTTTTCTACCTAAGCTTACTACACTGCAGCTCAAATCCCACCTGACTTTGCTCCCAGCAAAGCAAGAAGGGGTATGCTACTGCATTCCTCGAGGTACTGAAAGTCATGCATCTTTTGTAAGTGACTTGCATTCTTTTTCAGCTTTTTAAATCTTCACTGGGGTGAATGACGTACAGGAAGAGGCCTTTCTCCACTTACCATGGTTTGAGTGTCTCACGCAGTCTGACAGCACGGCACTGAACTGCCTCTGAGCTTCTGGCTCTGAGAAGCAATAGTAGCTGTGCCGGGCAAAGGGCTGCCACAGGTAAACTGGGAACTCCCTTGGCAGCTGAACAAAGGCTTGAGCAACCTCCTTCTCACTTGAACCTACACAGAAAAAAGACATCTCCATGTGAAATCTGCACATTTCTTGGAGGGTTTCCTTCTTTGCTACAACAGAGAGAACAGGGATGCATGAGACGTGAAAAAATCGTCTCCTTCTTGATCCAAGTGATTTGGCACAGAGGTCACGGGGACACATCTGGGTCAGATAAACTCAGCAGGCACCAACCACCTCTCTAGGTTATACCGTACAACTTCATGTCCTTCTGTTTTGTATTCAAGGTGGCCATAAACTACACAGTTTTGGTGACATTTCAAAGACTATTTCATTGGCTTGTAGCTGCTAGGAAAAAGGTTTTCAAGGCAAATGTCAGTGAGCAGGCCACGTAGAGACCACATAGGAGCACATGATCTTCCATAAAGAAAAGAACTGCATTAAACCATGTAGGAGCAGCAGCAGTTTCCCTGTCTCCAGGGTCTCCAAATACAACAGCAAAATGGCCTTATGAACTGTCACTTTGAGCCATTGAAGGTAAAGCAAAGAAAGCATTAAGTATCTTGTTTCCACCTGCCCTGAGTCACTGTGAACAGGGGATGCTATGCAATGCAGTTTATGTATGACCAAACCCAGTCTTGTGTCAGTGCCATGCATTGAGACCCCAGCCACAAGGAGTTTATCTCAGGGGGCCTTCATATCACACGGAAAGGGAGAAGACCCATAAAGGACACAGTCACTCTTTGTGAAGGGAGACCACAGGAAGCCCACAAGCAGCCTCGAGCTGTTCCAGATTGCTCAAGTACTGCAGAGCTGTGGCACACACAGAGGACCCCTCCAGCCACTGCTGCCTCATGCTACCCTCTGACCACCCTTGGGAAAGTGGTTTAAAGGGTCACCTCTCAACAGTCATAACTTTAAGTGGTATGAAACAGGCCTTAGAAAAAAAAAATCTTTCTCTACACATTGCCCTTCTCCCTTTCCTTATGTGGCATCCCATCCAGTTTTCCAAATCTGACTCTGAAACATGAGATCTGCTCCCTTAAAGCCTGAATCTTCTCCATCTTTGTGGAGTGGGGACAGGCAGGATCACAGCAGTTGCAGTCCCAGAAACAACAAATTCAGCAGCAGCAACCTTCCTGCCCTCTCTGTGGGACTTATTATCAACTGTAAGTCAACACAGGCAGCTGGCATCTAAAAATGGAAACAAAAAAGCCAGGAATATTAACAAAGCCCGGGAACAATGGTGGTGTGGTTCCTGCCCTGCTTCAGCACAGCTTTGTGCTGGGATGTTGGAAAGAAAAGGGAGCCAGCATTTCTCTGAACGTTAGCTTATAGCACGTTCTGTGTACATCCAATCTGGAGCTGTGCTTTGACTTAGAAAAAGGGCTGTGCCCACCTCCTGTTGCCCCATTTTAAAGTCTATCCTGAAAGTCTGATGAGAAGAGGTCTGCATAAGGAACGGAGCCTGGGGTTTGGCAGTTCAGCTTTGAGCAGGGCTTACCAACAGGATCTGGAAAATGTTTGTCAGATAGCGAATTGTAATCTTCTTCTGAAGTCAGTACTTTGCCTCCTGCAGGAATAACATGATATTTAGGGCTGGCTCCTTTCTGGTAGGCCTGGAAAATCAAGAAAGAAGGAGTCAAATAAGAGATTTAAAGACAGGGAAAACATAAACCCCACAACTCATTGACAAAGCTAATGCATGGGGATATTCCCCAAAGGGAAATTTTTGTCAGACTGAATTTTGGATATATTCCCTAGGCACATCAAATCTAAACCATGGTTAAACATAAAAAGCATATTTGAAAATATCCTCTTGGTGTTTATCAGCTGTGATGAAGAGTCAGCGACAGAAGGGACAGAAAAGCATGGGATTTGCATCTAAGTTCTATTTGATTGATTTGTCATCCAGGACTGTTTGACTACAGTTTCACTGCAGTCAACTTGAAGCCACCCAAAAACTGCTACTGAAAATCCAACTGCAGAAACACGGGAACATATTACCCTGACATACAGATAAGAAGTATTCTGTGATAGGCAAAGGAAGGTTCAAAGCATTAAAATTATTTGCTAGTTCTTGCAAACCTACATGGCCAATGGAAGACACCTGGTTGTACCCAGCCATCCCTCTGGACCGCAAGGCTGGAGCCACCTCGCTGAGGACAACATTTCATCTAGTATTGCTAAGAGAAAGGTAGAACAAATTCACTTGATATCAGTTTATTTGGAAGCATAAAAGGAAGAAGCATTTACCTCTTTAGTCTCAAAGCAATCCACTGTGTAATCATTTTTGATAACAACATATCTGTCCTTCCACTTCTTCAGATCCTCGGCAAAATGCAGCAGTTGTGCTTCATATAAGACCACCCCAGCTTCCATCGGGGGCTACAAAGATGATTTTAGAGTTTCAAAATTACTCTGGATTACTCTGAATTTCATTATGAAGCTTTTATTTCTACATTCCCATAACGCTGCTACGAGGGCTTTTGAGTCTTCAAAGGCAATTTAAAGTTATTAAACATCTCTCTGATTCGGATAGATACTACATACACAACCAACTTCCTGTAGCCTGAGGTGAGGAGGCAGCAGAAGAGCTCTGCCTTCCAAAAATAATTCCAGCTTTCTGAGACACAGCATTCTTATTTACCTTTCAGTTGGCATGTTGAATGCAAGATGACTGTAGTTCATTATTTCCCATTTTCTACTATGTACCAAAACTGTTTCATCAATGCAGCAGAGTTTTATTACAAAATAGTAAATTATTTCCCATTTCTTTTGCACCTGTGCTCTTGTAACTGATATGCATCTTTCTGAAAGACAGGTCTCTTCTATTATCCTACCTTTACATCCCACCTCATTGATTTACCCTATTCATTTCAAGAGCATTGGATTTCCAACAAAGCCAAAATATTTAGATTTGTTTCTTAAGATTGAACACTGTTTCTCTGCATTTTCATCTAATAAGAAAGTTTTGTTTCTCTTTTTGTCCCTCCTGCCCTACTAAAAAACATCTTTCTATAGTTCACAGAGGGGATTATTGCCATCTCCTTTGTGGAACCCTGTAGCCAAGGATAATTAAGTCCTGAATGTATGATCTCTGACCCAAGATTCTTGCAAAATATTGCAATTAGCAGGAAGCAGCTAGTTTTGTGCAAGTGTCCAACTCTACCTTGATGAAATGCATGCTTTGTACCAAAAACTTGTGTCATGATTCTTCTCATGCTACATTCAAACAAGACCAAAACAAAGATTAACTCTCCAAAATAAATTTTAAACCTGTACCCAAATGCAACTTTTCCACCTAAAACGTAACTGAACCAAATCCAATATCTGCACTTACAAATCTTTTGTGTACACTTGGGTTATATAAAAGACAGTACACATATAAAATGTCCCAGATGCACATTTATTATGTATGCAACTATCCAATATAAGAAGCTGAAAGAACACTTCCTATACTGGAAATGCTTGTATACATATAAAATATATCTGTATATGTATATACTTACATAAAGAGCATTTAAATAACTTGAAAAATACTTTGGATTTGGATTTTTAGAAGCTCTGAGTATCTGAACTTCACTTGATAGTATTAAACACTGGGAAAAAGAAAATCAATCTCAGTCAGCATCTGATACACTTCCAGCTCAGGTTTTCACACACTGCAACTACTGAATGTGTTATTTAAATAGTTAATGTGTTAATTAACTCAGCCAGGAGAGCAGAGCTGAATGGCATCTTAAGGATGGGGAGTAGCTTATATGCCCTCCTACCTTGTTTTTCAGGAACTGGGACTGGGAATCCCGGTGCTGCTCCAGCTCATCCTGCACATGCTTGCAGAAAGCCACCGCATACTGGCGTCTGTAGTGCGGGCTGAAGTTTTTGATGAGAGCCTCTGTTTTTCCTGGAGCAAAAGAAAGAAAAGAGATTCAATTGTATTTAATATACACGGGTGCAGAAAGTGCAATGCAGAACCAAGGCAGTTATCACCAGCAACTCAAAATACTGTCGAAGCATAAGGTCACTTGCTGCACAGATCAGGAAACCCTCAAAAATACTTTCAGCTGTTGTGATAACCAAGCACACAGGGAATTTGTCCAAGAAAATGTTGGGATTTGGATGTTGTTCTTCCTTCTAAGAGTGGTAAAAATATATCCCAAATCCATTTCTCTCAGAAAAGACACTATCTGCCTCTTCCTGGGACATACTGCCATAGAGCCATAGGTGTTCAAGAGCTGGTAAGGTTTTCAAAGAAACATACAGATAAGTGATACTGGCTAGTATTTAGCTGTATTAACCAATTTATTCACACAGTGATATTTTAAAGCTGATTCAAAGCTCCTACAAAGGATGTTTTCTAGACTTGGGCACGGAAGTCTCTTCTTTGTTTTAATGTAAACAGATAGTCACGCTGCAATAAACACTAATCTTGTATTGTCTTGTTATGATCAAGATCTCATCAGCAGTAATAAGAGCAATAAACACACTGACAGTCTCATTTCTGAGAATCTTGAAGCAATTTACAAGTAATTGACTCATTAACTCTATCAAAGAAATAACAATGCTTTACAAACAGGGAGGTGAAGCTGAAAGTTACAGCCATGTGCACATACATGACTCAGAGAGTCTCTGGCAATGTGAAAACTAAAACCTGGACTATGATATACATAGCATCCCAACCATCCTGAATACTGGAGAGATCTCTTTCTTCTGTGTATTAAGGAGTGCCATGACAAAGGGTTGTGGTTTTTGAGCATACAAAAGAGAAATGGAATTTCATAACTCAAGGAATTTTGATGCTTTCAAAATTTTACTTTGTTCTGCATTGGAGAAATAATATCAAATTTTATCTATAAGACCAAAAAACGGTAATGCACAAATTGAGAATTCTTGAAGCTTTTAAAGGCATGGACTCCTAAACCAGGACTGGCATTCAGCACTCCTGAAGGGCCAAACAGAGGAACCAGCAAGAATCACCATGACCTCCAGAGTCCTGAAAAAGCTGAACCACTTGCATCATATAATGATACTGCTGGACTGACAAACTCCTTCCAGCCACCCACCAGCGCTGCCACCAAAAGGGACCCACTGGGAGTTTTCATGATGTTTCTGTACTTTATACAACAGGCTGTGAGCCTGCAGCAGCTATGATGTAATCAGAGAAAGGTTTAGACAGGTTTGCTGTTTCAAGCATATAAGCATAGTCTTTCTAAAGTAACTATGCAAAACTTCCTGGATTAGTACTGATTCTGTTGCTGTTTTTCACCTGGCTTACATGGCAGTACAGTTCCCAGATTGTTCATGCTTTTTTTCATCTTAAATAATTTTACGTATGGTGAAGTAAAGAGAAAAGCTGTGGATTATTACAAAATGAGTGTCTTGGGAATTTGCAGGAGAAAGTGTGTGGGATGCTCTGGTGTACAAGATGCTATGGTCCAAGATTTACCACATCTGGCTATCTTATTTCCATTTAAAAAATACAAATATGTGTGGCTGAGAATGCCATGGAAAAATAATTAGTTTGCTAAGGAGTTCATACAGATGTGAGATCTTAAAAGGTTTTTAATGTGCTCATTTTAGGTCCAGCCAGAATTTGCTCCTAATGTGGGACATTATTGGGTTGTTAGAGGTAATTTCATCAATCCAGATAGCTACAGTATTTAATTACTCTCTAACTTCCTGATTATTACATTTACATCACTGTAGCTATGTGGATGTGCACACTAAGGAAAAAGCTACACATCGGCTCCTCTGCTTTTGCAATTTTATTTTCAGTTTGATGCACAGAATTTGACACCACCCACGTTTAGGGACAACACTGACACGAACTTTCATTCCAGCTACTGCTGTGTAACTGGCTCAGAGACGTGAGCTGGAGCCTTTTCCTGATTAAGCATCAACAGGATCACTGCCTTCAGCTGAACTGAAGGCCCCTTTTGCCCCACTCCTACACCATTCCAACCATGCATCACCACCAGGTTACAAAACTGCCGCAAAACTGGGTACACAGAGGAGACAGCTCAGCCAGCTGCTGCGTTTGCAGAGTCACTACACAAAGCTGGAGGGATGTCAGGAGGCCATATTAAGTTTTCACTTATGCAAGTTTTTCACAGATTTACCTGTGGGACAGCACCAGGTGACAATCTGCACTCCAACTCTTCAGTTTTAAGACACCAGTTTTTTTGAGGCTTACTGATTATAGGACATGCTTGCATATAATAGCAGGATACCAATGCTGCTGAAGCAGAAAATCCCTGCCCATATGACATCCTTTTAAAAACCAGCCTGCTTGGGCAGAGGCATAAGCTTATTCTCCAAATAAGGATAAAGCTTCCCAAAACATTCTTTATAGCACATTTTTTTTCCTTCTGGTCCCAGCCAGCAGTAGGATGTTGTTGGCCCCAGGCACGGTGGAGTTTCCTGCTCAGGGTTTGCCTCTATTTTCCACCACGGCTTTTTCTTTTGCAGTTTGCAGTGGCCTCGTAATCTATTATAGAGGGCTCTGGGACACTGGACCTCACTTGACTACTGCCTGCATCCTGCAGTAAAAATTTGTAGAGGAAGTGGAACAAAGAACAAAATTATGGTGTTGGGAAAAAAAAACCCAACAATCGCAGGAAATACCTGTAATTTTGGCGAGGTCTTTCAATTATGGCTATGTCGGCTCAGAAGTGTGATCCTTCAGTGTCAGCATTTCTTAGATCAGCTTAAAGTAGAAAGGAATGTGTAGTTCGTAATACATATAAATGAAAAATATTATATCAATGTATTTTTTTTATGTGCAGACTATATTTACAATCAATCAAAACATGAATCAAGGAGCAAAATAGGCTGTTTAGTCTTTACACTACTTGTTGCAAAGGATCTCTGCATTAAAAATTCTACCTTCTAAAATTAGAATAAAAGGTTTTATTAAGAGACTGTGAGTGGTAACACATAAAGACCTGGTCTTATACTGCTTGGCTTAGCAGGAATTGCAACACTACCTATGCGCGGGAAGAGAAGTGGATGAACCCTTGATACATTGTTTGTTGATGGATCTTTAAACTCTTGTGGTTTACAAAAGATAAAAATATGCTATCAGAATATGAACATCATGGAAACAGTCATGAGTAATAGAAACTCTTCCCATGTAATAATAATATGGGGCAACTGGAGATAAAATACTCCAGGGTAGTTGAAAAATGAGTTCCCTTAATTCTTTTCCAAATTTAGTGTGGCTTGCTTAGTCTGAGATGTTTATATGGAGCAAGGCCAACCTTCCCACTTGGCTGGTCTGGCAACAGTGTAGTTCCAGCCTGTATGAATGTGATCTGAAACCCAGCAGCTAGGATGTTTATCCTAGGAGAATACGTAGCTTGATCATCTCCAGTAGAAGCCTTCATGCAACTGAAATTACCAACAGGAAAGGATGATAAAGATGGGGGTGGAAGGATTTCTGTCAAATTAATGAGGAAAGGGTCTATTCCCCCTTTGCTGAGGGGAATGATCCTGCTCCAGAATAAACTTTGCTAGTGCTTCAAGATGCATCTCCTGTTCCACAGAAACATTCTTGTACTTGATCACAAAAGTTTGGCAGAAGTTACGATACATCTTTTAAAACAAAAAAAGAATGTCATTGCACTGACAAACAAGAAACACCTGCCAGTTGCCCCGCTGGAAATCAGGAACCCTCCCTCAAACTTGTTCTTGCTGCTCCACTGCCTTTGACCTTCTTAACTGTGTGTCACTTGTGCTAGACACTTGTATGTAACTCCAAGTTACATACACCCACAGCATGTCCTCAGATAGCTGGCTTTCAATTTTGTGTTTCATTGCTTTTATTGAAATAAACTGATAAGGACACTCTTTGTCAAGCTGTCCCATGAATTCCTGCTGGTGTAGCCGCTGGCTTTCAGCCTGGTGGCTCAGCTGCATGCAACTCAGCTAGCTCACCCTGCCACACTTCTGCCTCTTAACAATGTGCTGCCAAGGGACTGCTGCAGATACAGGTCAGGACAATTCAGAAGAAAAGGGCAGAAAACAATAACTTCTTGGCTGGCATACAAGAGAGGGGTTGCTCACAGCCACTGGATTTCACCATTTGGAAGTTAGAGAAAGAGGTAAGGACTTCAAATGAAAATTATTATTCCGCTTACATATTGGTGTATTCAGTAGTTAAGATCTTGCTACCTTTATCTTGCTACCTTCCAAGGGTAGCAAGATGACCATGACACTTCCTCTCCATGGCACAATTGCTTGCACTCAGCACCTTCTGAATGTGGTTTTCAAAAAATACCACGATCAGTGAGTGATACGAATCTCTTTGGAGGTCTGGAGGGTTTATCTTCTTAAACTATTTAAACCTGTTGGAAAATATACTTTGCCCTCAAGAGACATAAACTATAGGAAAAGTAGATGATCTGCTGTATCAAAGCAAACCCTAGACAAAATAAAACCTAAAAGAAACAGTAAGGATTGTGCAGGCTGAACGCCAGTACACCCAGCATTTCAAACAAGTGTGAAGTATTGAAACAGAACAGGAATGAATGACTTTGTCCTTGCATTTCTTCCACAAGGCCACAACCAAAGTCATCAGAAGTAAATATAAAAAGATCAGTCGATCATATCCACATGGTACTTCACCAGCCAGGAGTACGACCCACAATCGGGGACATGCTTTTAAACGACAAACTATAAACTACACTGCATGCCTTAATGTTATTCAGCAAATTCAGTACCGAGCTTTAAAATTACTATCATCCATCCATCCATCCATCCATAGACATAATCTTATTCTCACAGCCCACCAGGGTAGCAGCAAATGAGTTAACAAAATAATTTCAGTGTTCAGTTCATGGGTCGACTTCATCCCAAGTCCAAGATAAACTCAGTCTTTGATTAGGATAAACATGTAAAATTGTA